CGGAGAAGGTAGCTCCGTCCGAGCGCGCAGAGCCTCCGGCGGCAGCGGAGAAGGTGGCCTCGTCCGAGCGCACAGAGCGTAGGGGGGCGACAGAGAAGGTCCCTCCGTGCAAACGCACAGAGCGTACGGCGGCAGCGGAGAAGGTGACTCCGTCTGATCGCACAGAGCATATGGGGGCAGCGGAGAAGGTGGCTCCGTCCAAGCGCACAGAGCGTACGGGGGCAGTGGAGAAGGTGGCTCCGTCCGAGCGCACAGAGCCTACGGGGGCGGCGGAGAAGGTGGCCCCGTCCGAGCGCACGGAGCGTACGGCGGCGGCGGAGAAGGTAGCTCCGTCTGAGCGCACAGAGAGTATGGCGGCGGCGGAGAATATGGCCTCGTCCGAGCGCACAGAGCGTGCGGCGGCGGCGGGGAGGTGGCTCCGTCCGAGTGCACAGAGCGTAGGGGGGCGGCGGAGAAAGTGGCTCCGTCTGAGCGCACAGAGCGGACGGCGGCGGCGGAGAAGGTGGCTCCGTCCAAGCGCACAGAGCGTACGGGAGCGGCGGAGAAGGTGGCTCCGTCCGAGCGCACAGAGCGTAGGGGGGCGACGGAGAAGGTGGCTCCGTCCAAGCGCAGAGCGTACGGGGGCGGTGGAGAAGGTGGCTCCGTCCAAGCGCACAGAGCGTACGGCGGCGGCGGAGAAGATGGCTTCGTCCGAGCGCACAGAGCGTACGGGGGCGGCGGAGAAGGTGGCTCCGTCCGAGCGGATAGAGCGTACGACGGCGGCGGAGTAGGTGGCCTCGTCCGAGCGCACAGAGCGCACGGCGGCGGCGGAGAAGGTTGCCCCGTCCGGTGGTGTGGCAGTCGTACGAGAGCACATGGGGTCTCCTAACCCATAACAGCGCCGGCGGGTGGTCGCTCGACGCTGAGGGCTGGCGGTGGTCACGCACTAAGGCCAGAATTCAAGCGCGGGCTGACAACCTTGTGCCAGTAGGTGTTCTCGTCAACGCGAATGAGGCAACTCCAGCAAACTGAAGCGTTGAAAGCGTTGCGAACCGTACCAAATCAATGCGTTTTCCCCTGCTGGCTGAGAACAAACAGCTGTCCTCAGGAATATTACGAATGTGCCCTGAGCAACCACCTGAGCCCATTCATTTTTAGAGTCGTGCCATCGACTTGCGTTTTTGGAAGTTGTTCTCATGGCAGCGTGGAGTCGACTTAACACAGTCACCAAGCCCGTGCGGCTCAGAACGAGCCGCTGTCCTGGCAACAGAAGCGACGAGGCAAGCGAGCAGCGCCTACATGTAAAGGGTGTGGAGAAACTTGACGGTATTAATTCCCAATGATGGCCGTTAATTAAGCTTCCTCCGACCCCTGGTCACACTGAAGGTGCCATGACTGGAAAGCGTTGTGGTTCGAGATGTGGACTGAGAGGATGGGTGAGTGAGTAATGACCTGCCATAAAATGGCAGGTCATTACTCACTCACCGGTTTTTGGGCTTACTTCGCGGTTTTTGCGGCTATTTTCTAGTTTTTAGGTCTACTCTCTTTCAACAATCATTTCGCACTTTCGCGGATGTAAGCAATCGACCAAGTCCACCATAGCATACTGGAGGGTTACACGTGAACCGGCCACTTGTCTTGCGCGCATTGTATGCCCAGTCCGACCCAGCCACCGCGGCTGGCCGATGACGAGGGTTCATGCCGCCTGTGACCCACCATCGTCTGTGTTCCACCATGATCCGTGGATCCACAGTTCTGCGTCGGTCCATGATGCAGCTGTCGTTTGTCATCGGTGGTTTTCAGTTCTCCATGGCCGGTGATCCGTACTCTGCTCTACTTGTGCCGTTGTAGTTGCGTAATCCAGTTGTCGGCAGCCGGCGGCCGTGGTCCGTCGACACGTCCGAAGGCCTGCGCTCCACCGGTCGTAATCCAGTTGCCGGCAGCTGGCGGCCGTGGTCCGTCGACACGTCCGAAGGCCTGCGCTCCGCCGGTCCGGGTGAAGCCGATTCGGTGGCGGGAGGAGGCTGTTGAAAGACGCTTCTTGAATGCCGTGCTTGGGTCTCCGTGTAGCTGCTGGCGGTTCGATGAGCGCATGGTCGTCCACAGGAGCACCATCACGCCAATGCTTGCACGGACCAATCAGCGACGGGGAGGTCCTGATCCACGTCACCTCGCGCGATTTCTCCTTGTCCTGATTCGACCGCTGTCATCGGCACTGGTGTTGTCTCGCGCCTGACGCTGGGAAGGATTTTCCACGGCCTGCGACCGCCAGGGCCTTTAGTGGTCTCCGCGAAGGACCGAGTCTCATCGTGATCTGCTCCGCGAAGGACCGAGTCTCATCTTGATCTGCTCCGCGAAGGACCGAGTCTCATCGTGATCTGCGGTACGAGGACGTACAACAACGCTCTCTTCTGCCGATCGTCAAAACAGTGGGATCGGTTTGAATATGGCCACCCAACGGGGGATCGATTCTGATCTAGCGCCACCCAACAATGGGCCAATTCATGTCTGGTTCCTGTCGGTGGACGAATCGATGCGTGTTCGCCGCGCGGTACAGGGCTGCTTTGGGCCTGTATTTCTCTACGGTGAGATTGGTTCGGATTTTGTCGGTGGGAGCTCTGCCGCACCTGCATTTTGTAGAGCTTCGGCTAATCTGTCGAGGCATTGACGTCGCCGTCCTTGGATCCTATGAAGCACCTTGATGCGCGCGTTTTTCCGTCGCCTTAGACTTGCGGGTCACCTTCCAGGACAGCGAGGGTGGACATCACTGGAGATGAGCAGCGAATTTTCGGCTCGTTTCTTTTGCGCGCTCGTGTAGTGCGTCCTGCTTACATTAACCAGCTTGTTGCCGCTGTCTCTTTTCCATAGAGACAGGGAGAGAGAGAGTGTGGGGTGGGGAGGGGGGAGAAGTCCTAGGGAGGCGCAAGTAAGCGATAAAGTGCAGCCTTAAAAATTATGTATATATATACATATATATATATATATATATACATATATATATATATATATATATATATATATATATATATAGATATATAGATATATCTATATATATATACATATATATATATAAATATATATATATATATATATATATCTGTATCTACATATATATATATATATATATATATATATATATATATATATATATATATCTATATATATATCTATATATCTATATATCTATATATCTACATATATGTATATCTATATATCTATATCTATATATATCTATATATATATATATATATATATATATATATATATATATATATATATATATGTATGCTGACATCTGTCCGCTGTGTGCGTACCGAGATTTGATTTCCTTCGGATGCCTCAGACAGATCGTGAAAGAGAGTGGCATACCACGCTCTGTGGCACAAAACACGCAAGGCTATCTCTCTGTGGTGAGGTTTTAGGGCACTTATCTATCTAGCTCAAGGCACCGTAGCGCCGGATTTTGACCAACAATGTTTGACAGCAAACCCACCGTCATCGGTCACACGCTAAACAAAACAGACGGGCTCGGGCCCCGGCTCGCCAGCATGCAGTAGTGCAGGCGGAGGGGGGGGGGGGGGCAGGGGGCACGTGCCTCCCCTTAGGTTCCGAAAAGCCTGAAGGCCCCTCGGAACCTACGTTTAAGGGCCCACTTGAGGGCCCGAAGGGCCCGAAAAGCCAGTGGGACGTCTCATTCAGGGGCCCCGGCCCGCAGAGCAGGACACTCAGATGCCAACCAGAGGGTTCTGCGCGCTGATCAGGGACCCACGGAGTCGTAAAGGGCCTATATTCCGGTCAGTCACCACCAGTAACGGACAGTCGGCTCCGTGGCGTATTGGGCCTAAGGGCCTATTTCCCAAGCAGGGACGAAGCCGGAGCCAGCGATTTTCATTGTATGGGGCCAACAGCACCTAACAGGGGCTCTGCGTTGTCAAGGGGCCCCGAATCGATCGAAGGCAGTATTCGAGGAGGCCCAAAGAGCCTAGAGGGCCCACCCGGTCGTCCGACAATCAAGGGTCCGATTGGAGGGTCTAAGGACGTTAAGGGCTGGTCGTAGTGTTATGCAGGGGCCCAGACCTGCGAAAACTGACCTCAAATAATGGTCACAGGGCCCTTTGCGCCGATCGGGACCCCCTGAGTCGATATGGGCCTATATGTCGATCAGGTACTGCCGTACCACATAGTCGGCTCCGTGTCGGTATGGGCCCGAGGATCCACTTCCCAATCAGCTATAAAGCCGGGGCCAGTGATTTACGCTGGTCTGGGGCCTTGCATCTGTCAAGGGCCCACAGCGCCTAACAGGGCCCTGTGTTCGTAAGGACCCCCAGCCGACCAAGGGAATAGTTTGGTGGGCCCCGAAGAGGGACCCGGGCGGCCCACCGTACCTGACAAAGGCCCGGTTGGAGGGCATAAGGGCCCGAAGGACTGACTGTAGGCCACATCAGGAATCGCGGCCGGTAGGGTCGTGACCTGAAATATCAGAGGTCCTCTTGCACCGTTTTAGGAGCCCCTGGGACAATGCGGGTCTCTAAGTCGGTCAGAGAGCACAAACACCAAACAGACAGCCTCACGTCCGTCTGAGCCCTTGAGACCCATTTTCCAAGCAGAAACGAGTCTGCGGGTCCGCGATTTGCAACGTTCGGGGTTCCTGACACAGTGAGGGGCTCCTGCGGCGGTTAGGAGGCACAGTGTCGAGCAGGGGTCCTGTGGCGGCAAGTGGCCCCGACTCAGAACGGTGTTTGAGGGGGCCCGAAGAGGGCCGAAGGGTCTCTCGAGACCAAAGATTAACCGGGACCAGGTGTTTCGGGACAGCGCGGTGGGTGGTCTTTAGGTGTGCTTCTCTTTCTGTCTCAGGTTGGCCGGGTTCTTACTTGGCGGCAGATTCGTGACACTTTGAAGCACTCGTTGGCGAATGTTGATAATTGTGATGTTTGGTGCCACCGCTTTGTTCATGGCAGGCTGTGAGCAGACAGCAAATGACTGTTGATAGATGTTACAATTGTTGTTTCTGTTTGTCTCAGGTTTCTCCGGCCAGTACTGCGAGGAGCCTGTGGATGATTGCGCTGTGCTTGATCGGCCCTGTCTGCACGAGGGAGAGTGCATCGACAAGGACAACGGCTATCTCTGCGACTGCCGCGGCACCGGGTAAAAAACCTCTGGTTGGAAAAGCCAGCAGACATATGTATAATACATAACACATCAACGTGGCGAAGGCCATGGCCACGCAGCGCCACTTTTTGATTCCAAGCGCACAGCTTACTTTTCATGGGTGGGGTTTCACACTCTGTGAGTCGTAGTAAACCGCTTGACAAGTAGCAGTGTCATGTGCTTACGACCAGCACTGCCAACACACTGTCTTTATAGCGTAACATTAACCACGTAATGGTGCATGAAAGGATTTTTTTAAAGAATTGGTTTGGTCCACTCGCTTGTCGCGACGCGCCCACAATTCTGTGCTGCATGGCATACAAGGCTGACACGCGAAACTTTCCCAGCCATTTGACCATTACACTGTGATAAACATGCTCCATTCGCGCACGTTGGCATGCTCTCCCATTTCGTGAGTGGTGTGTGGCTGCAATACTGCGGGTGCACGAAGGTCGTGTGACAGAACCAGCGGCCGGTGCGGGCGGGGTGGGGGTGGCGCGACCCCGATCGGCGTCGCCTGGAGGTGACGCCGCCCTCGCTCCCCAGGTATGACGGCGAACGGTGCGAGAAGAACGTGGACGAGTGCCGGTCGGCGCCGTGCCAGAACGGCGGCACCTGCTTCGACCAGTTCCCGGACTACATGTGCGCCTGCCCGGCCGGCTGGGAGGGCCGGCACTGCGAGCAGGTAACTCCGCCCCCCGGTGACAGGCCGCTCCTATTACAGCGGTGCCCTTCTCCCGGCGCCGGCTCGGGTGACCAGTGGCGCACTCAGGGGCGGGTGAGCTGGGGTCTCTCGTTGCCGGCCATGCTCCCGGCGCCGGCTCGGGTGACCAGTGGCGCACTCAGGGGCGGGTGAGCTGGGGTCTCTCGCTGCGGTCAGTTGGTAGGAGCCCGGCGTGACCAAGACCTTTGAGATCGGTCAAGTCGAGGGTACCTCGCCCTGCCGAGCTGGCGCGTCTTGTCTTGCAGCTATACATCGAACGCAATCGACGAATCTCCCCACATTTTCTGGCGAGATGAAAGCCGACGGTCTTCATGCCTGCTGGCTGGCGAAGCGCGTGTGCGGGTGTTCCCCGCCTCCTTCCGGACCGAACACTCCGCGTCTCTTGACTGGAGAGCATGCAACGTTTCGATAATATCTTGTTGCAGAGGCGATTACAAGTGTGCAGGATTAGCAACACCTGTTGAGGAAAGAGGGCTAACTACACTTATTCCCACGGAATTTTCCCGTGTACCTGTCACGTTGTCATCCGCCTGCTGCGACATACGGTTATTAAATTGCAATAGTACGCACTTTTTTAATACACTACTGTACGTGTTTTTCATGAACTGTTTCGAATTCGAAGGTAACACAGACGTCGTATATTGTTTTGCGGGGCCCAAGCTCGACAGCTGATGTCCAACAACGGAGCGCACACCCGGCTTCCGAGCCTGCTGTGGTCCGGGAGGGCATGAATCACCGCTCGCGTGTGGTCAGCGGCTGCCGGACACGTAGCACCGAGCGGATGAGGGTATAAGCTCGCCTGCGTGACTGTGGATCACCTGACCTAGCCGTCACAAGGCGCTTTTTCAACGTGGTCTTGTCACCAGCTGGGTCTAATGCCAGGATCATGTTCATGCTGATCCCTTGCTAGGATTATAGTATGCCCATGAAATTATAATCGTCCAATTTGCACCGGATGTACTGTCGCTGCTGGTGAAATCTAGGAGCGTGAGTCCACAAAATAACCAAGGTTTCCCAGTACTTGTGCAGTGTGACGCATGCTACCTACGTTTTAGGAGCTTGATGAGATTATTTTGCAAACAAAACATTCAATCTACTTGCAAAATCCAACACACGTTTTATGCAACGATTAAGGCGTGTATTGTTACCGCGAGAAGATCATTTTATTTCATTTAGTCCCGCAAGTGAAAATACCAAGGAAGTTTGGTCTCTTCTCTTGGTTTCCTTGGTATTGTTCTTTTTGCGGGATGTCGCCATTTATGCTGCAATGACAGCATAACTTTCGGATTTAAATGGGGTCAAAACGCTTTGATCAGCACGCGATTTGGTGAAAAACACAGAAAACACATTATTATTTGGTTAAAACGCTTTTTTATTGTGATGGTAAAAAGATAATATTCTCGGTATCTGAGGGCGCAACATCGCCGCGGGGGTAATCGGCTCAAAATATTCCAAACGGAATGGTGTATCTGTTGTTTTGTTTCTGCGGGCAGCGAAGGTACTTCCCAGAATCCGAATGTTCGTATCTTGAAATCAAATTTTGACATTTGGCGCGGGAGCAGTCCAGTTTAACGCAGCACCGCCCTGTGCTATTGTACCGAACACGTCCACGCGGGGGTCTGGTTCACACGGTTAGAGTCAGATAGGAAAAAGTTTAGTTAAGGAAATTAAGAAATAAATAAATTGAAATTTTAAAAAAAGTTAAGGAAATAAATGGTCCGAACAATTTGTGCGTCATGAAGCTTATATGTGTGAATTCGGCCAATGACAGCCTTTCACCAATCGTCATAATTGTCTCACGCCTTGTGGGCCTCGTAGTACCCGTAGTGATAGTCACGCACCTTTGAAAGTCGCACGAAGCGAAGCTGGCCTCCGCACCCGCGTTAAACGTGCTATAATGGCAGCAAGGGTCAAGGGTCAATGTCAAAAGAACGACAACTTCAGGTCAAGGGCAGAGCAGAGTCCGATGAGGTGACTGCTTTCAACTGTTCTACCACCGTGGGTTACGTAACCTATTTAGGTGTAAGCTAAGCTCACCGATAAGAGTGGGCTTGGAAAATGTACTGGTCTATTGAGCAATGTATCGCAAGTGGACAGCTCCAGTGGATTACGATCGTCGTCTTTACAGAGCCGGCGATTTCCACGGACCATGAACTAACGTCCATCTGTGTTCTTGACCCGATAATTCACCCTGACCCGGCTGGCAGGAAATTAAACAAGCTGATGTAATATATCTAATCAAACGAGAATAGCAACTGTGAACTGGCTTGCTCGCGACACTTCCAACTCACTTCAACAAGGAAGAGAAGCGATTCTTGCAGCCCAGGCGATCGTGGGCCCATCACCACGCAGCCCTCACTCAACGACATCCGCAGACGAGGCCCTCCACCACTGTTTCGTCGGCTATGGCACGTCGCGTCTCGCACCGCCGCCGCACCTGGCTGCTCCCCGCGCCAAGGAGCGCACCCCTCACGCTCTCCCCCCCCCCCCTTCCTCCGCCGGCCGGCAGGACATCAACGAGTGCTCTGTGCAGCCGTGCCTGAACGGCGGCAAGTGCGCCAACCTGCCGGGCAGCTACCGCTGCGCGTGCCGGGCCGGCTTCACTGGCGACAACTGCGCCACGAACGTCGACGACTGCAGCACGGCCACGTGTCCGGAGAACGCCGACTGCGTGGACGGCATCAACGGCCACGAGTGTGTCTGCCGGTCGGGCTTCTCAGGTGAGCTGGCGGGGCCGGGGCTTCGGACTCTGATGATGAGGGGTCAGGTGGGGGGGGGGGGGGGGGGGCAAACCCGGCTTCTCAGGTGAGCTGGCGTGGCCGGGGCTTCGTACTCTGATGGCGAAGGGTCAGGTGTGGGGGAGAGGAGAGGAGGGGTGGGCAGGCCCGGCTTCTCAGGTGAGCTGGCGTGGTCGGGGCTTCGTACTCTGATGGCGAAGGGTCAGGTGTGGGGGAGAGGAGAGGAGGGGTGGGGCAAACCCGGCTTCTCAGGTGAGCTGGCGTGGCCGGGGCTTCGTACTCTGATGGCGAAGGGTCAGGTGTGGGGGAGAGAAGAGGAGGGGTGGGCAGGCCCGGCTTCTCAGGTGAGCTGGCGTGGCCGGGGCCTCGTACTCTGATGGCGAAGGGTCAGGTGTGGGGGAGAGAAGAGGAGGGGTGGGCAGGCCCGGCTTCTCAGGTGAGCTGGCGGGGTCGGGCCTCGTACTCTGATGGCGAAGGGTCAGGTGTGGGGGAGAGGAGAGGAGGGGTGGGCAGGCCCGGCTTCTCAGGTGAGCTGGCGTGGCCGGGGCTTCGGAGTCCGACTGTGGAGGGGGGGGGGGGATCAGGTGTGTGGGGAGGCATCTGCGGATCACCTCCCCCCCTGACTGAGGTGGGATAGTCTAGGTAAGGGAGCCAGCGGAGCACCTCCTCTGGCAGACTGCAGGAGTCGGAGCTGGGGACGTATGGGAGACGTGGGGGACGGTAGGAATCGGCCAACGCCCACCTTGTCGGGGACTGACGCGGCATCCGCTGGTGCAAGCTGACCTGGGGTCCGTGGTATGCTCCCGCCCACCGAGTGCACGAGGCCTGCATGACTGCGTGATGCTGGTGACGGCGGGTCTCCGTTTCCAAGGCTCAGACGCAGCGGTCGTTACCCGGTCGGACTGCGAGGGCGCCCGCCGTGGCATGCGGCCGGGCTGCGTTTTGTCGGCCCCGCCGCTGACTGGTCCGCTGTCTGATCCCCTGGCGCAGCTGACCGGTCCGCTGTCTGATCCCCTGGCGCAGCTGACCGGTCCCCTGTCTGTTTTCGGTGTCCGCGTCACAGGCGCCCCCTCCAACTGCACGCGCATGAGCTCCTGCGAGCCTAACCCGTGCCAGAACGGCGGCTTCTGCCAAATGCAGGACGACATGGTGATCTGTTACTGTGCCAACGGATTCACAGGTCAGTAGGGGTGGTCTCCTTTGAACTGTGTCACGTCTTCCGGTCGTGTGTGACGTGTGTTCGACTCGAAAAGTAACACGCTCCGATGGGCTACCTTGTCGCAGCATGGCATGTTATGAAATGCGTGGCATGTCTCGTACCTGCATCACTTATGCATGGCAGTAGAATGGCATGGTGATCAACTGTGGACGTGGTGATCAACTGTGGACATGGTGATCAACTGTGGGCATGGTTTTCTGTATTTGACTGGACGGGCCGGACGGTCCACCCTCATAACAAGCAGTTCGTGGGTCTCGCGTCGCTACCCGGACCGACACAAATTCATGTGCGCCAGTTTTCTGCACGTATACAGATCACTGCTATGACGGCTCTTCATCATCTCCTCCCTTGTTACCAAAGTGGTCCATCCCAGTGGGATCTGCACTAAATGCCCGTCAGCATGTGTTTTACATGCCGCCACCATCATCACAGCACTAGCCGTGCTGTGCACGTCTGTTTTTTCGCTGTGCGAGGGCTGCAAACCCTTGAACCGCGGTCATGCCTTCCTGAGCACTCGGCCTCCTGGTCAAGGTGGAGTCCAATTGCCACTTGTTTACTAGTCAGTCACGCTAGCGTGTTCAGGCATTGATCAAAGGATACGTTCATTTTGCGGCCTCGTACCAGTAGGTGCCTCATTTCGAACGTTGTCGTAAGAATGTTAAGTTATTCCTCTTTTTGCTGTGACACAAGTAGGCGTCTTGTGTCAGGTTGCTGCAAAGGCAACTCAATAACTCGTCCACGCAGTGGTGCAAAGGGTGAGAACTCACGCGCACGCTATGCCACTTTGATCCTTATGGGACGCATGCACTACTTATACAAACTCCCTTAACAGCTTGGACTGAAATGGCCACCCTTCGTGGAGATCTATGTTGGCGATCATGCCAGACCCGCGTGGCTCCCTCACGCCGTGGATGGCCTCCCCCCCCCCCCCCCCCCCTGAGCCCGACAGTCCGGTCGCGGTGCTCGGCTGTCGGGCCTGCCGAGTGGGCGGGACCCACCCGGGCGATACCATTCCTCACCCGTGACGCGCGGCCGTCCGCAGGCCCCGTGTGCGAGGTGACACCGACGGTACCGGAGCCGTCCTCCGAGGAGGAGCTGGCCAGCCTGGCGCTGCAGGTGGCGCCGCGTCAGCAGCCGGCCGCCTGCTTATCGGCGCCCTGCGGCGCTGGCGCCACCTGCACGGACGCCGACGACGGCGGCTACAGCTGCCTGTGCGCCGACGGCTCTTCGGGCCCGAGCTGCGAGGTGCCAGGCGCCTGCCAGCCCAGTCCCTGCCTGAACGGCGCCACCTGCACCGAGCGCGACGGCACGCCCGTCTGCCAGTGCGCGGACGGGTACTCGGGTCAGTGCACGTGCCCCAGCGTCGGATCAGGTACTCAGTGCGCGTCTGAAGTGTCCGTGCGGAACCTGGGGTCTGGTGACATCTGTCAGCATCGGGACGGTACTCGCATCAGAAGATGGGCCACTATCCAGGCCAACGCTAAGCTGTCTTTTGCTGTTGCGGGCAGCAGCCGGACCTCGGCGCAAAGCCGATATATCCCATGTGCTGCATAGGTCGTGGATGTTAGCGGGGGGGGGGGGGGAGGGGCATTCAGCATACCTCATCCGTCCGTTACTCGTGGTTACCAGATGTCGCCCGGTTGAGTGCTCGTAACGCATTTATCTATTTTATTGATTATGCACTTTATCACGCACTGCGAGTGAATGTTCCTGTTTGCGAGACTCTCAGCGACTCCTGTGCCTTTGGGCCTCGGCACTGTTTTATTCGCTGCGATCGTTTCAGGGGATGTGTGCGAGACTGCCGACAGCCCCTGCTCCAGTCAGCCGTGCCTGAACGGCGCCGACTGCGTCATCACAGACAATGCACAGAGTTACTACTGCGAGTGCATAGCCGGTAAGAGTTCAGTGCGTCTTCCTTTAAGCTCGCCCCAGATATGGGACCTTTCCAGAACGTGACGTGACGTGACGCGACGTGACGTAACGTGACGTGAACTGAACGCTCCGCCGGGTGACTTGAATCTGTGCCGGTTCCGGGAGTAATCTAGTGATAGTCGTTGGGGTTTAACAACGCATCCAACATCCAATGTCGTTTAGTGTGGACATCTGTCCTGCCGCTCACCCCGTTTTATTGGTGTTCCCGGACTGTGTAATCTCATAAGATAAACTGTGTGTTGAGTTAACTTATTAGTTGAGACGCTAGATTGGCCACTGCAGCTTTTCAACAACGCCATGTCAAGAAAATTAAACACATTCTAGGACGCGTAGATACGAACATGCATCCAGAAAAGCACAAACACTAAGACCGATACGGTTGAAAATTTTTGCACAGACCAAAAAATGTACACTTAAAAGCGCACACACCAGATGCGCGCGCGCTAGCACAAAAGGTACCACGTTTGTAAACATACACGCCATACCTGTATGACAGGCAATTTCCGACAGTCGTATTAAAGGGATTTGACCGTTGAACGTTTCGTCGATTTCGTCGTACTGTCACATTCCACCGCTAACGAGTCGCCTCCTGCCTGCCTCGGTTATAATTATCGGCAGCCGCTGCTGGGTTTGCTGTCTCGGTCGGTTACCGTGGTCGTTCACGCACTCTAACGTACTCGAGTACCCGAAATACTGCCTGGCTGGCTTGAGCGTAACGTGCGCCGTACTCCGTACTCCGTGCACCGCCGTACCGTACTCAACACATTCTGTGCTGCGTGGCTAAATTGGGTACATTGTGTCACTTCAACTCAGGTGTCTCATCGCAAATGTGGCCGTGTCATCGTCGTCCTCTGATGGCTCGAGCACAAAAGCTGATTAGCTTTTGGACACGTTTCAGTTCAGTTGTTCTGCATGTACCAGCTAGCTACATGTGCCAGTAGATAGCTAACTATGCAGTACCTCTGGGTAGACAAGATGATAGATGTCGCGATCGGTTTGGTAGTGAGTGGTGGGATAACATGCTGTGTGTTGTTGAGCACTAGAAGTACGCGGGTAGTCCTCGACACAACGTGATTGCCATTGTTACCACGAGGTAGCTGGAAAGCCGGCTGCCTGGGGGTTTTCTGAACGATTGGGCCTGCTGTGTGTGCGGCAGCGGGCCGGTGCGGACCCGATTGTGTGTGCGGCAGCGGGCCGCTACGGACCCGATTGTGTGTGCGGCGGCGGTCGCTGCGGACCCCATTGTGTGTGCGGCAGCGGTCGCTGTGAACCCGATTGCGTGCGCGACAGCGGGCTGCTGCAGACCCGATTGCGTGTGCGGCAGCGGGCCGCTATGGACCCGATTGTGTATGCGGCAGCGGGCCGCTGCGGACCCGATTGTGTGTGCGGCAGCGGTCGCTGCGAACCCGATTGTGTGTGCGACAGCGTGCCGCTGCGGACCCGATGGGTCGTGCTGCCAACAAGTGCTGATGTCTTTTGCCGCCGTTTTAACCACTGCTATCCCTTCAAATGCGGCACGAGACCAGGAACCGCGTCGTTGTACTCGAGGGTGTGTTATTGTAACTCCTAGCGTTTTCGTGGCGCTTCTCACCTGTCGGAGTTCCCGCTCACCGAAAGTTCACCTGTTGCGGCGCTCTCACCCTTTATGAAGGTCCTCCACACGTTCAGGGGCCTCCACTCTCAGCTCCAGGTGAACTATCGCTCTTGACGTCTGCTGGACTCCGCCCGCACCCACCGCTCCGTCCACTCCCGACTCGTGCTGAGCTTCCGCTGTCGGCCGCCAGGGTTCGAGGGCCTGACGTGCGAGAACAACATCGACGACTGTCGGGACGTGCAGTGCGTGGCCGGCCAGCAGTGCTTCGACGAGGTCAACGGCTACGACTGCCGCTGTCCGGACGGCTTCAGCGGCGAGCACTGTGACCAGAACATCAACGACTGCGCCGACAGTCCCTGCCAGAACAACGGCACGTGTGTGGATGGCATCAACGACTACCAGTGCATCTGCCCACCCGGCTACATAGGTGAGGTGGAGCCGTCAGAAAGCCGTGGGCGAAGCCTGCGTTGTCCGCCGGCATGCGAAGATCTTGTGTCAGGGGCCTTACAGATTAGTGTTTGTGTTTAGTGGGGGCGCACCACAGCAGTTTTGATCTTCGCGTACATGTTGCCCGTTAGAAATTAATCGTCCTTTAGCATGTAAGCTTCTTGTAATTTTAGACGATGGTTAATCTTGATGCATTACTGAGCAGTAGCAAAGATGTCTGGAGACGACGCTCTTACGGCTCTTACTTGTGTCCGGCGTTGTGGTCGGGATGTGTCCGGCGACCCACTGCCGTGGTCGTACTGTGTCCGGCGATCCGGCGCCGCGGCCAGGCTGTGTCCGGCGATCCGGCGCCGCGGCCAGGCTGTGTCCGGCGATCCGGCGCTGCGGCCAGGCTGTGTCCGGCGATCCAGCGCCGTGGTCGGGCTGTGTCCGGCGATCCGACGCCGTGGTCGGGCTGTGTCCGGGGATCCGGCGCTGCGGCCAGGCTGCGTCCGGCGATCCGGCGCTGCGGCCAGGCTGTGTCCGGCGATCCGGCGCCGTGGTCGGGCTGTGTCCGGCGATCCAGCGCCGTGGCTGTGACCTAGGCGCCGTCCATACCGGGCCATTAATCGGTGCACTTCGGTGGGTGATCTGCCAGGTCGCAACTGCACGGAAGACCTGGACGAGTGCGCCATGATCCCCAAGCCGTGCGTGCACGGCATATGCCAGAACTTGAACGGCTCGTACCAGTGCTACTGTCGGCCCGGCTTCCTCGGCGACCACTGCAGCCACGACTACGACGAGTGCCTGTCGAGGCCGTGCTTCAACAACGGCACGTGCGAGAACCTCGAAAACAGCTTCAACTGCCACTGCACGCCTGGCTTCGCGGGTGAGCCGCCGCCACTGACACCTGGTGGTCAGAGGCGGAACCTGCTGGCGTCAGAGCCGGCCGAGCGGACCTTGGATGGTGTGGGAACGACGTGTTCGTGAGGGCTTGATCTGGATCGGAGCAATACAGATCCGGTGCTAGTGCATGTGTGGCTACGCTCCACTGTAATGAAAGGAAGACGGCATACACCTTATTTCGAAGCAAAGATGTATTTCTCGTTCGGTTTTGCCATGCCTGTGTTCATTGTTCGTATTCGCGTTCCCCCAGGTGAGGTATGCATCGTAGGATGCACGCCCCTACAAAGCAGGTCTCTCGGGTATCCAGCAATTTCATGAACCACTGGGCTGTTACAAACTCGCCACTGTCCCCTTCGGTAGGGAAGAACTGCGAGGTGAACATCAACGAATGCGAGCCTGATCCGTGCAAGAACAACGCCACGTGCGTGGACGGCATTGCCAGTTTCGAGTGCGCCTGTCTGCCTGGCTTCACCGGCAAGCTCTGCGAGACCAATATCGACGAGTGTGAGGTAACGATGGCAGCGCAGTCGCCGGGGGATCGCTGGCGCCGGTGAGCTGGGTGATGTCGCCGGGTGATCGCTGGCGCCGGTGAGCTGGGTGATGTCGCCGGGTGATCGCTGGCGCCGGCGAGCTGGGTGATGTCGCCGGGTGATCGCTGGCGCCGGTGAGCTGGGTGATGTCGCCGGGGGATCGCTGGCGCCGGTGAGCTGGGTGATGTCGCCACACAAGTGACGGGGCTTGAATCTCAAACGAAATTTTCCAGTACATTATAGTAGATAAAGCTTGGCTTCTCATCAATTTGGTTCGCATATTTCGTGAAGAGGTCAGATCTACTCTTTCATTTACCGCCGACGCCGTTGGCTTACGACCGTCTCAGTCGTCCAAGCTACGGTCAAAATCACGCCATCGTTAGCCGCCACCGGTGGCCCCCACCTGTGGCTGTGACCCTCATCTAACATGGTCAAAACCACACCATCGTTAGCCGTCACCGGTGGCCCCACCTGTGGCTGTGACCTTCAGTTAACTTGGTCAAAACCACACCATCGTTAGCCGTCACCGGCGGCCCCACCTGTGGCTGTGACTTTCAGCTAACATGGTCAAAATCACACCATCGTAAGCCGTCACCGGTGGCCCCACCTGTGACTGTGACCCTCAGCTAACATGGTCAAAATCACGCCATCTTAGAGGTCACCGGTGGTCCCACTTGTGTCTGTGACTCTCATCTAACATGGTCAAAATCACACCATTGTTAGCCGTTCCCGGCTTCCCCCCACCTGTGTCTGTGACCCTCGGCTAACACGGTCGAAATCACACCACCATTAGCCGTCACCGGTGGCCCCTTTGCCACAACTATCGCTCACGAGCCTCGCCTTACACGCTCCGCTCCGTCCGGCAGTCGGCGCCGTGCATCAACAACGGCTCGTGCGTCGACGGCATCAACATGTTCACGTGCAACTGCAACGACACGGGCTTCCGCGGTGACACGTGCGAAATCAACATTGACGACTGCGCGCCGCTACCATGCCGCCACGGCAGCGTCTGCGTCGACCTCGTCAAGGACTACAGTTGCCGCTGTTTCCCGGGATACGAAGGTGAGCGGCGGGACGACGAGGCGCCGCTGAGCCTCTGAGCCTCGCTGCTGAGCTTCTGAGCCCCGCTGCTGAGCCTCTGAGCTGTACTGTTGAACCTCGCTTGCCCGGCCCACAGGCAGAGCGGGGATCGTTCACGGTCTGCTCTGCAGGCGGTCGATCTTTGACCTTCTCTGACCTTTTGAAATGACGGCTGTGTAATCTGGCGGAACAGGGCTGGACCTATTGGTTACCACGGGGCGGACCGCGCAGCCCTGCTTCAGGCCCAGCTGTATGTTCGCTGCACGGCATGTCACGCGACGCACGCGACGATGTGACACAAGTTCGAGCGTCGGCCACACTCCACGCACAATATCAGTCTCGCACCGTGTTAAGCCAGATCACGGTGCCAATCCTGCGACATCGCTCATGACACCGCACAGGTGCCATGAATACGCAAGCCTTGTTCTGACGCGAAGCGTACGGTAGTGGCACGGCGGACGTGATGCATGCCGACATTATGCATGCATGTTGGTTGTGGGTCGTGTCAGAACGGTTTCCCAATGTCTAGTGATATGCATCGGTGTACGGACCGGCAGTCATCAGCAGAATGGCCGTGGGAATGCGCCGTGGACATCGACGTCAAGCATTAGTGCCTGCACTCACGCCCATTGCCTGTTGAGGAGGCTAGAGACATGCTTACCGGGTCCCGTCCTGAATACGCTCATTTGCTTAAGTGTATTATGTGCGACAAGCATACGGCAGTCCTGCGTTGTTTCTGGCGGAGCTGGTGAGGCCTCGCACGGCTTAAAGGTCTCGACGCCGCACAGGCTTGTTTGAGCTAGATCGCTGCTGCTTGAACACGGCTAGAGCTCTAATCGACAAGGCAGAATGTGCCACCGCCTTTTACACAGGGTATACTGTGTGCGCTGTTTCTCCTGTCTACTCGGGGCCGATTGAATACCATGCACTGGCAGTTGTTCTCGTCTCTGTCTTTCCAGTTTCTCGCAGTCCATCTTCATCTCCCCATTCAGGCGTTACGTCTCTTTCTCGTTCTTTTTCTCTTTCCTGATCTCGCTCTCGCTCTTGCTCTTCTGCTCGCTTTTTTCGCCCTCCGCCCGCACTCGCAACAACCGCTCGTCTGCATCTAAACCAGGAATTTAATGCATAGTACGCCAACCGTTTACCTCAGCGCAACACTTTTGTCTACCTCCCGTGTTCTGACGACGTCCCTTCCTTCGATAGGAAAGAACTGCGAGACGGACATCGCCGAGTGTGAGCAGAGCCCGTGCCAGAACGGCGCCGCCTGCGTGGAGAAGTCCAACAGCAGCCTGTACGAGATGGGGCTGGTGATCCCGGGCCTGCCGCCCACCTACAACTTCTCGACGGCCGGCGGCTACCTCTGTCTCTGCCTGCCCGGCTTCTCCGGCGACGACTGCGAGGTCAACATCGACGAGTGCGCCTCCAGTCCGTGCCAGAGCGGCGACTGCGTGGACGGCATCAACGAGTACACGTGCCAGTGCTGGCCTGGCTATGAGGGCGAGCACTGCCAGACGGAGATCGACGAGTGCGTGCGGCTACAGCCGTGCCAGCGCGGCGTCTGCCAGGACCGCGTGGCCGACTACGTGTGCGAGTGCGAGGACGGCTTCGGCGGTAAGAACTGCTCGGTGGCGCTGCTCGGCTGCCGCGACGTCACCTGCCTCAGCGGCGGCACGTGCCAGCCGTTCGTCGTCAATGAGACGGAGCACATGTTCCGCTGCCGCTGCCCACCCGGCTTCTACGGCGACCTCTGCGAGAAGGAGACGACCGCCTCGTTCCAGGGCGCGTCGCACGTGCGCGTGTCCTCGCCGTCCGACGCCGACAACTACACGCTGAGTCTGCGCTTCCGGACCACGCTGCCGGACGGCCTGCTGGCCGTCGGCCAGGGCCACTCCGGCGGTGACTCGTTCTTCCGACTCCGCCTCAGCGGCGGCGCAGTCAACCTCTTCAGCAGCATGCAGAACGCGCTGCAGGGCCTGACGGTGGGCGCGGCGCTGCACGACGCCGCCTGGCACCACGTGCTCATGGCCATCAACGGCTCAACGGCGGCGCTGTCGGTGGACGGCAGCGGCGCCCATGAACCGTTGCGCGTCTCTTCGTCGGACGACACGCGGTTCGCCAGCACGATGCTGGGTCACGCGGCCGCCAGCCACCTCCAGCTGTTCGTCAACACGAGCGGCTTCGTCGGCTGCATGCAGGACATCATGGTGGACGGCGGGGCCGTGGTGCCGTCGATGCTGCGGGAGGACCAGCAGGAGAACCTGACGCTAGGCTGCCCGCGCGAGGAACAGGTGAGCGCCGGTGGCGAGCAGGCTCACGAACCGCAGACTCACCGCCAGCCGGCGGACGGCATGGTAAGACAGACAAGAAGCTGTTTGTTCGTGTTTGGAACCGGTGAGGTTCCGTGGATGGTAGGATGCTGAATAGCAGTGAGTTTGGGGCTGCTTTGCTACTGAGCAGACGGAGACTCCATGATAGGTTGTTTGAGACTGGGCCGTTAGTAACACGATAAATTGCAGCCTGGGATTATTGCGTACGGGCGTCGTTCAGCCTTGGCACCTTTACGAACCCAGCTTAAATGCTTGGAAGGCGAAACAGTTTTCGTCAATTTTATATGGTCGTTCCGTTTAACTTACACATCCCACTCTCCGTGGACTGTCACAAATCGAGGTGAGCTATGATGTGTGGTATTATGAAGTAGGTATGTAATGCAAAACTGTTTTGTTCTCAGCTGCTTCAGCTTTGGCGGGCCGGAATCCTCTGGCCGCTTTGCAGCCTGGTGATATTCTTTGCTCCGTAACTTTAACTTTTCAAATGCATTGATTTAATAATTAATTGCGTTGTCGTAGCTTTTCGTACTCCCTACTCACAGCATTAATTTCCGTGCATTCGTCGGCCAAGTATTAGCTCCTTAACGCTGTCACAAAGTGCGCTTATGATATGTCCTCCGTGTCGTGCACGGTCACAGCATGGTGTGCCGATCTGTTGCAGTGCTCCCCGAACCCGTGCATGAACGCCGGCGCCTGCGTGGATCTGTGGAGCCGGTACAGATGCGACTGTGTTCGGCCCTTCCTCGGCCCAGTCTGTGACCGAAGTACGCAGCGCCGTCGCATGACCACTGTTGTGGTGCTGAAACTGTGGGCGCCCCGTAGGAGCCAATGTCGCCCCAGGGCCAGTTCTTTTTCGGACACGCGACTAGCTGGTGATGGCGCGGACGTGGGCGTTGTCCGTATCATTGAAGGCTGGCGGTTTGGCATGCAGCACCGGCCTTTAACGATAGCGGCCGCGCAACCCCGCCGCCCGCCGCCTGCTTGTGGTGCCTGGATCCAGGTGCAGCAGTCTGAGCGGGATCACGCGGTCCGCGCGGAACAGCTAGCGGGCAGATGTGATGCGGGGGGGGGGGATTGCCCCCAGCGAATATTGAAAGGGCCTCTTCGGCATTTTCTGATAATATGGTATCTAAACGACCTGCGGGGGCGAAATCCGTTGCCCCAAAAATGCACGATGAACATTTAACTAAAAATGTTTGCGCAACGCTCTTGTGTTGTTTCTAAGGGTTTCAAAAATGTCGTTCTGTGTTGGCCTTTTCTAACCTCCGTCACGCGGGATCCCACAGACATCACGGCGGCCACATTCAACCACGAGAACAGCAGCGGCTCGCTGGTGTCGGTGGCGGTAGAGCCGGCGTTCGCCGCCTCGCTCACCACCTTCGTCGACATCTCGCTGTTCGCGCGCACGCGGCAGCCGGATGGCATGCTCTTCTACCTGGGCACGGACGTGGCGGACGTGCTGGGCGCCGGCGGCATCACTTACCTGGCGGCCGAGCTGTCCGGCGGTCTGCTCCAGCTGCGCCTGAAGCTGGCCGCCGATCGCGAGGAGCTGCTCGAGGTGCCCGGGCCGCGGCTCGACGACGGCGTCAACAACCTCGTCAGGGTGGGTGCGCCGGTGTCGGTGGAGGCAGAGGAGTCGCCGCCGTCCCGGGAGCATGCGGAGCGGGCGTCGCGTGGTCACAAGGACGCAGGCTGCCGGCATGTGTAGATGTGGGGCGCACGTCGGTACCGATGCTATTTCCGGTTACACAGGGCCGATTGTCCTGGGGGCGATGGAAGCCTCGGCTGGCAGGCTAGTGTTACCAGAGCTGCCTCACAGACCAGCTGGCCCGGGAACTCCTCCCAGGCGTGTGCCCGACTGTCACGGCTTCACTTCATTGTCTTCGACCCTGCACTCGTGACGCCCCGACCGTGACGCTGCGGCTGTGACACTGCGGCTGTGACGCTGCGGCTGTGACACTGCGGCTGTGACGCTGCGGCTGTGACACTGCGGCTGTGACGCTGCGGCTGTGACACTGCGGCTGTGACGCTGCGGCTGTGACACTGCGGCTGTGACACTGAGGCCGTGACGCTGCGGCTGTGACGCTGCGGCTGTGACACTGCGGCTGTGACGCTGCGGCTGTGACGCTGCGGCTGTGACGCTGCGGCTGTGACGCTGCGGCTGTTACGCTGTGGCTGTGACGCTGCGGCTGTTACGCTGTGGCTGTGACGCTGCGGCTGTTACGCTGTGGCTGTGACGCTGCGGCTGTGACGCTGCGGCTGTTACGCTGTGGCTGTGACGCTGCGGCTGTGACGCTGCGGCCGTGACACTGCGGCTGTGACGCTGCGGCTGTGACGCTGCGGCTGTGACACTGCGGCTGTGACGCTGTGGCTGTGACGCTGCGGCTGTGACGCTGTGGCTGTGACGCTGCGGCTGTGACGCTGCGGCTGTGCCTCCCCCGCCGCCGTCCCTGTCCGCTCTGTCGGCGTCTGTCCGAGCGCGGCCTGACCGTCACCGTCCCCGCAGGTGGTGCGCAACGACACCAGTCTGCGCGTGCTGGTGAACGGCGCCGAGCGGGCCAACGCCTCGCTGCCGGACGCGGCGCCGCTCTCTGTCCAGGTGCTGTACCTGGGCGACGTGCCGGAGCCGGGCCGCCGCCGCCGTCGCCGCCAGGTGGAGGAGCGAGGCGTGCAGCCTGTCTTCAAGGGCAGCCTGCAGGACGTTCGGGTGAGAAGGCCATGCCGCGCGCGCGGCGTGGGCTCGGACAGAGCTCGCAGGGCGACCGGGGGTGCCTCTGTAAGGAGGTCAACGCCCCATATATATATATATATATATATATATATATATATATATATATATATATATATACATACATGTGGGGCGTATATAACATGTGTGTGCACGCGTGCGTGCGTGCTTGCGTGCATGCGTGCGTGCGTGCGTGCGTGCGTGCGTGCGTGCGTGCGTGCGTGCGGGCGGGCGGGCGGGCGGGCGGGCGGGCGGGCGTACGTACGTACGTACGTACGTACGTACGTACGTACGTACACACGTGCGTGCGTGCGTGCGATGACATGCAATGCTGACTGGGCTCAACCCTCCCCACCGGTGTGGTTGCGTGCCCGCGTTTAAGGAAGTCCTCATTCCTCGGAACCGAATCTCTGCGCTTCGTCAGTGAACTAACCGGCCTTAGCGGGTTCCTGTCGCGATTGCGGACCGTCATTTTTTCCGCACGAGATTCGGTGGTGGGCTGCTACAGACTCCCCACGGCATGGCTGTGACACGCTGTGGCCGGCTGACGGTGGCTGCTGTCCACAGATCGTCAACGGAGCCGGCCAGACGCGCCTGGTCGAGTTTTACCCGCTGAATGACCCGAGCTTGCGCCTGCCGCCGCCGCTGGGCCTCGTGACCGCTGACCGGGTGCTGGCCGGCTCGGTCAGCGACGACACGTGCCGAGACGGCCCGTGCAGCAACAACGGCACGTGCGCCGTCACGTGGAACGATTTTAGGTGAGGCCGCGGCGGGACAGGTCGGGGCGCCGCGGGTCACAAATATCACCGGGCAGAGCAGGAGAATTCGTAAAGCAGGGGTGGAGAGGGTGAGGCAGGGCGGGACAGCACATATATGATAGAGGAGGAACAGGACAGAGTCGGACAGCATACAAGACGGAACGGAACAAGGCGGAAAACGATAAGGAGGGGGATTTACAGTGGATAGAGTCATACAGCAGAAAACGATATAGGAGAGTTGATGACGGGGAACGGGAGGTGAAGTGTGCGACTGTTTAGTGAAACACAGAGGACTCCAGGAAAGGCAATGCAAATCCGACGAAGCGCTTTAGAATGAAATCCTAGACAGCTAATTAATGTAACTGACGTTGGTGGACGCGCATACAGTTGTCTCAGCGCACTGCAGCCACAAAACTGGCCGGACATCAGCTGGCCGGTCGCGTCATGCCGCTGGTGGTGACACTGTGTCCGGTGCGTGTCGCAGCTGCACCTGTCCGCGAGGCTACAAGGGCCGCACCTGCACCGAGCTCGAGTACTGCGTGTGGCACGAGTGTCCGGGCGACTCAACCTGCCACGACCTCGCCGACGGCCACGAGTGCGTGGCCAACGCCACCTTCAACGGCGTCAACAGCTCGGTGGCGTACGCGGCGCGGCTGTCGGCCGGCGCCGCGCTCGACTCCATCTCGGTGGCGTTCCGCAGCCGCGCCGGCGGCCTGCTGCTCTCCGCTGGCGGGCTGACGCTGGCGCTGACGGCGGAGGGCGCGCGGCTCGCCTGGCCCGGCGCCGAGCTGACGGTCGGCGCCGACGCCGACCTGCTGTCGGGGCGCGTGGCGCCGGCTCGAGCTGCGCTGGGACGCCGCCGAGCTGCGCCCAGCCGTGGACGGCGAGGCGCTGCCGCCGCTGCCGCTGCCGGCGCCGCTCGAGCTGGCGCAGCTGGTGGCGGAGGCGGAGGTGCGGCTGGGCGCGGCGCCGGCCGCCCAACGCCCGTTCCGCGGCTGCCTGTCGGCCGTGCGGCTGGGCGGCGTGCTGCTGCCGTTCCTGTCCGATGAGGCGGTCAACAGCTCGGCCGCCGACAGGTTCGCCGTGCGTCAGCCCATGCAGTTCGTGGCCGAGGACTGCACGTTGTGCTACCAGCACGAGTGCCAGAACGGCGGCGCGTGCGCCGCGCCGGCCGACGAGTTCGACTGCACGTGCCCGGCCGGCTTCAACGGCACCACCTGCCAGAACAACATCGACGAGTGCCTGCTGGGCAACGAGTGCACGAACGGCGCCACCTGCGTGGACGGCGTCGACGGCTACTCCTGCGCCTGCGTGGGTGGGTACGTGGGCGAGCACTGCGAGACTGAGGTGGACGAGTGCGCTTCACTACCGTGCCAGCACGGCGCCACCTGCGTCGACCGCATCAACAACTACACCTGCGTGTGCACCGACGAGTACATCGGCCGCGACTGCGAGCAGATGAAGGTCGTCAACTGCACGCACAAGCCGTGCCAGAACAGCGGCGTCTGCGTCGACGTATTCGACGGCGAGGTGGCCGTCAACTACACGTGCGCGTGTCCGTTTGGTTTCGAGGGTCGCGACTGCGAGCTGGTCACGGACTTCTGCCAGCCTCAGCCGTGCCTGAATGACGGCACCTGCTCATCGAACCCCGGCGTCGTAAGTTGCTGTCGGCTGTTGGCTAGGGCGCCGTACAACGGCGGCAAGACAACGCTTTCCGATTAATTTTTGAGCTCCGCAAATGGCTTGTTGACATGGACGTTTGTTTTGTTCACGTCAGGCTCCTGTTTGTCTTGCATTACAATATGCGTTCTCGGCTCAACTCTTCATTCTGCGTTTGTAAGTCGCTGAGTGCATTTGCAAGGAACATTATGCATATAGGTAAGACAGTAGTTATTGTTTTATTCTTCGTAGAATGGCCGGAAGAATGAGAAGATAGTATCTCTATCCCACGAACTTCCCCACTTTCCTGGCTATTCTACAAAGAATAAGGTCATAAGTACCGTCTCATCTGTTATGCGTTTGTCTTGTCACAAGTGGATGTCATCTAGCAACGTTGCCATGTCTCTGTAGTCTGGGCCCATGCCCTCCGGTGTGCATATCGTGCTGACCTCGTGGGGCGCTGATCACCGCCTCGGGTGTCCCTCGCAGGGCTACACCTGCCAGTGCGCGCTGGGCTTCGAGGGCGACGACTGCGAGATCAACATCGACGAGTGCGCCTCGACGCCCTGTCAGAACGGCGGCACGTGTCTCGACCAAGTGAACTCGTTCGTGTGCTCCTGCCCGTCGGGTACGTTGGACAGACTCAAAGCTGTGGGCTGGGCTGTAAATTGCTGAGCGGAAGGCTGCTGTCATTGTTGAGAAAGTTTCCGGCCTTTAGGTTTGGGATGTATTGCTCGAGAGAAACAAACCATCACTAATTAGCCAGCGTAGGAAGTTGTGTTTGGTCCCTGGAACCATCGAATGCAAGCGTTAGCTCCGTGAGGTGAAATGTATGGAATATGACAAGATACGACAGAAAAGGATAGGATAGGGCAGGATAGGGCAGGATAGGGTAGGATATTACAATATGATTGATAGGATATGATAGGCTAAAACTACATACAAATGCTGTGTGAAGCAAGGACATATTCATCTGCCGATGGTCGGTTCCCTACCATCTGGGTGCAATGTCCTTAAGGCTATTTACTGAAGCACCTATCCCTAGCAGCTGGCGACGTTGGATCAGACAGATAATTGTGCTCACGATCGAGACTTGATCGTGAGTGGGATACGGTGCAGAACGCCCCCATAACTCCCCCCCCCCCCCCCGTCTCGGTACCAGCCGTTTGGGCCATTCTGTCCCGGCATTGGTGGGAGCCGGGTCTTTCTACCTCAGAATCAGTAGTCTGATTTTATCATTCTGGCTATGTATTCCAAGCGAGCGGGCATAAGCTGTAAACACACAGCTCAGAAGTACTATTCTGTGCATTGCCTATCCACCCGTATTCCTATGTATTGCCTAGCCACCCGCTTAGTATTTGAGGAAAGCAGAGGAGGTGGTTGCGGACACCAGTCGGCGCAGCATTCGTTCATGAGTGGGAGTGACGCTTCAGCGCGGTGCACACGTGGGCAGACCGCGACCTGTCTGCCCGACTGGCCGGCACCGCGTGAGAACGCCACAAGGTGCAGGTGGGGCTGGCGGGCCTGCTTAGCTCGGTTTTACTGTAACGCGCCGTCTGCATGGAACAGTCCTAGCTCCTTAGCCCTGCTTCATTGGCTAAAGGCGATAAAGGATCAGTGTATGCGGAGTCAAGGGGTCAATGGAACCCCAGAACACGCAGGTGTCAAGGGGAGTCCGCCTTGTGTTCCGACCAACGCTCTTTGGATTGGAAAGCTTTGACCAGAAGTCCTGTCAAATGCAGCCAGTATCGCGAGAGCTTTGACCCCGCAATCTCGGGATAGCAGTGGCAGTTTGTGGGATAGTTTTTGCTTCGACCGTTTCACAAACCAATATCCAATTTTCTAACTCGCGAGGTGATACACGGCCGCTGCGGTGAGAGGGAGCGAAGCCCGCCGCCGTTATAGGTGCAAGGCCGACAGTGATGCGTGCGTTAAAAACTGGCAGACAGACATTTAGTTCGTGTAAGTTGGGCGCCAGGAATTATTGATCATGTACGAATCCTCGGTATTCCACCTGTAGTTTCTCTCATTTGTCCATCTGGGACCCAAACCACACGGCGCCATTTCGGTCCCCTGTCCGGACCACATCGGTCGGTTGGCCCTCATTCCATCTGATGACCAGTGCGGTCCCTTTTGCCGTTCTTCCATTTGTCTGAGCCCTTATATAACCGTGTCACCCATCCCTTAAAACCACCGTGTCACCCATCCCTTATGCCACCCTGTCACCTGAGCCCTTACGTTACCGTGCCACCTGAGCCCTATGTCACTGGGCCACCTGAGCCCTTACGTTACTGTCACCTGAGCCCTATGTCACTGTGTCACCTGAGCCCTATGTCACTGTGTCACCTGAGCCCCTATGTCACTGTGTCACCTGAGCCCTATGTCACTGTGTCACCTGAGCCCTTACGTACCATGGCACCTGAGCCCTATGTCACTGTGTCACCTGAGCCCATGTCACTGTGTCCCGAGCCCTATGTCACTGTGTCACCTGAGCCCTTATGTCACTGTGTCACCTGAGCCCTTATGTTACCGTGTCACCTGAGCCCTTATGTTACCGTGTCACCTGAGCCCTAATGTCACTGGGTCACCTGAGCCCTAATGTCACTGTGTCACCTGAGCCCTAATGTCACTGGGCCACCTGAGCCCTTATGCCATTGTGCCACCTGAGCCCTATGTCACTGGGCCACCTGAGCCCTTATGCCATTGTGTCACCTGAGCCCTAATGTCACTGGGCCACCTGCGCCCTTATGTCACCATGCCACCCAGCCTTATATTACCAGTGTCACCTGAGCCCTTATGTCACTGGGCCACCTGAGCCCTAATGTCACTGGGTCACCTGAGCCCTAATGTTACCGTGTCACCTGAGCCCTTATGTTACCGTGCCACCTGAGCCCTTATGTTACCGTGCCACCTGAGCCCTATGTCACTGGGCCACCAGGCCCTTATGTTACCGTGCCACCTGAGCCCTTATGTTACCGTGCCACCTGAGCCCTTATGTCACTGTGCCACCTGAGCCCTTATGTTACCGTGCCACCTGAGCCCTTATGTTACCGTGTCACCTGAGCCCTAATGTCACTGGGCCACCAAGCCCTTATGTCGCTGTGCCATCTGAGCCCTTATGTCACCGTGGCTCCTCTGCCACCCGAACCGTCAGTCTAAACGTTTTCAGCACCGCCGCAGTCCGGTCCGCTTCTGACTCGGCCAGGCGCCGATAGATGGCTCTGCCGGTGCCCCGTCGGTCGATAGTCGGCTGCCCAGATGGGCTTGTTCGCCCCAGTTAAATATTGTATCGCGCCATGGCAGCGGCTGCGAGGTGGGCGGCGCCCGGGCGCGGCCGCCGTCACTAGCATGGGCAGGCGGAGCGGCGGCCGGCCCCGGTCCGCGCGGCCATCGCGCGGCCGCCGGCAGGCCGCCGGGCCCGCGGCGCCGCTGGCGCAGCTCCATCGGGAGTGCCGCGATGAATGAAACAGAAGGAAAGAGCAGCTCGTGACAGCCAGCGTGATCTGGGACAGCGGCGGGCAGGGCTCGGATGTTCGGGAATGTTCCCGCGCTGTAGTGCCTGCGTTATTGGTCGCCTGCAGCTGGTTGCATTTAAATAATTGCGGTGGGCTGTCAGAGAAGAGGCATGACTTTCGTCTGGAATAAAATGCGTTGGGGGCTTGGAGGCTCGTCTGCACTGAAATGGATTTGCTGCGGGAGTGGTTTTTTATGTTATCTACGCTTGTGTGAAGTACAACACGTTTCTTTACTCAATTTTACATCTCGTAGTTTGTTATGCTTGTTCCAGAACATATTTTTAAAACTCAAAGATCTAAACATCTTTGGTTCGTTCTGACTGCGTGTGTGGCTCCCTTTAACCGTGAAAAACTCATCGGGAGACCATCGAAGGGAAGACAAGCAACGCGTGTGTGGATATTGATGAATGATTACTGAGATTACAAAACGAACTGCGCTTGATTACCCCCGAGGGTACCGTGCGCCAGCACGCGCGCCCCGCTCGGTAGGCGCCAGCGGCGTGTGCGATTCGGCTACGACCGGCGGCTAAGCAGTAGCTGGCTGAACAGAGGCCTGACTGGACCCTCCTTCATCCTCTGGCTCTCCTCGGCAGCACAACGGGCCTAGCTATTGTACGGCAGTGGGTGCGATGCCTGGGAGGTGCTCTCTGCTCCAGATGGTAATTCAATTCTGGTGTTTGATTTTCAGTTTAAGGCGTTGCCTCGTTTACGGCGTGTAAACACGCTGACGGACAGGGCATTAAGTCGCGCTTGATCATGTTTGTTCGTCTGCCATGGCTGCTATCAGTGTCGTCAGTGCCATGTGTGCCGGGCGTTTTAAGAAGCTCGGCGTCCTCGCCCAACGATGGGTTGTTCTCGCAGGACTGTTCTCACCATGTTCTCACCCAACGCAGGATTATTCTCACCACGGCATCTGTCAGTGGACTATCCATGAGCTTCGTTTTCCGTCAAATGAGCTCAGCTTGTCAGTTTGTCAGGGGCAGACTCCGCTGCATCCGTTAGCGCCGCGGGCGATGACAGCGTCATTTTGCGTCCAGCAGTGATCCTTAACTCCAGCCTCGAAACCAGATCAGGCAGATCGGGGCCTGCTGATGGGATATTGAGCCGGGCGGGCGGCTACCGATGTCGGAGCCGGGCCCCCGGACAGCGGCGGCGCTCCGGTGGGGCGGCCGCAGCAGGCCCTGCCCGACCTCAAGCCGTCGACGGCCGCAGCTCTGCCCTGCGAGCGCCGGCGGAGCGACCGGCGCCCGCTCGCTCCGAGCGTCCGTGCGATGAGAGCGGCGCAGCTCTGCCCTGCGGGCGCCGGCGGAGCGATCGGCGCCCGCTCGCTCCGAGCGTCCGTGCGATGAGGGCGGCGCAGCTCTGCCCTGCGGGTGCCGGCGTAGCGAACCGGCGCCCGCTCGCTCCGAGCGTCCGTGCGATGAGAGCGGCGCAGCTCTGCCCTGCGGGCACCAGCGGAGCGATCGGCACCCGCTCGCTCCGAGCGTCCGCGCAGTGAGAGCGGCGCAGCCCCGCGGTGCGGTCCGGAGCGGGTCGCATCAAGCAGGCCGTGCGGCGCCCCGTCAGGCGGTAGTGCGCGGATGGAGGCCGGAGCTCCCCGCCGGCCGGCTCTTCACGGCCGCTTTTTGCGGTTTCCCCCGCTGCGGACGGATGACAGCGCGGGAAGTCGTCAAGCCGAACACCACTGGCGTTCGAGATAAGCGGATTAGACCCCGTCGTCGCCAGCGACGGCTCAGCTGAATCCGGGTCGGAACCCACGACCGGGCGCTGGGCGTCACTTGACCCGGCGTCGAGGGCGACTTCTGCTGACGTTTGATGCAACGGCACCTGGGCATCCGCCGCACTGGACCAACAATTGCGTCTGCGCTTGGTGAAGATCGATGAATCCATCTTCCGAGACACACCTGACCTTTGAGCTCTTGACCTTTGGAGGGCGGCGTAGGGAATTACAGCCCAGTCGGCGCCGGTCCAAAGTCTATGTGTCGGGGGGCGACAGGTGTTATTGCTCCGGGCCTGCCGTCCACTAGACTAGCGGAAGGATGGGACACTGGCCGGCGTGCGCCCTGCAGGAGCAGACGCCAGGAAGCTCAGGTCTCGCAAGAGCGTTAATGGCGCTCGTGTGCGATCAGATCAGGCCTGATCCTACCTGTTGCCTTTACTGGGATGCCAGGCCGACACAACCATGCCATCATAGCCCTGGGTGCATGACCTGGGCTAACCAGGTGTCGGCGCCGGGGAATGAAGGTACCACGGCCACACCGGTGCCGCTTTTGCGTGCAAAACTACCTGGTTTCACTGGCCTGACCTGTGCCTTGACGGATGACCCGACCTGACCTCTGACCCTGCCCGCAGGTTGGACGGGACGCCTCTGCGACACGGACACCCCTGAGTGTCAGTTCTCGCCGTGCCAAAACGGCGGCAACTGTACAGAGCTGCCGGGAAGCTTCGAGTGCACCTGCCTGCCCGAGTTCTGCGGCAGGTCGTGCGACCTCAACAACCACTGCGTCGAGAAGGTGAGCGGACGCGACCGGCTCGCAGATGAGGCTGCGGCCTGGCGCGAGAGCGCAGTGGCAGCGAACGCCGCACCTGACAGGCGGACCAACTCAATGCCGCTCATCAAGCGAGGAGCAGTTTGTGGACCTCCCGCTGCTGAAGGCGTCTCGCTGACACTATTACCGTTAAATTTGATAATTTACGAGCAGCCGTTCCCTTATTCAAGTTCGTTCTGAGTTTCGTTTCAAAACAAACGGGAGGAGTGGAACGCTTGGAAGCTCTTAAAGTGATGACGACAATAGGAGCACATGTCAGGCTCACACGGATGGGCTGCAACGCTAATGCTGTCAGGAAAGGCTCGAAGGACAAACATGCCGATGAGAAATGGGGTGCGATGGAGATGGGAAATGGAGGGATGGGAGCTGCAGAACATGGGGATAAGGGCCGTAGGGAAGAAATGAGAGTTCTGCGAACTCCTGGGTCCCCGTGGTACATTCAAGCCATGCCTTTCAGGGTGCTCGTTGTTCGGCTGGCACGAAGTCGAGGACTTAAAGTTGCCATCCTCTCGACCTCAACGAAGATTGATGCGCTTTCTTGGTGACCGTGCTGTATATGCAAAACAATGCAGCCATATGTTCAGAGCGGGCGCGGTCCTTCTACTTCGGCTAGCAACGCGGTCCTTCTACTTCGGCTAGCAACGCGGTCCTTCTACTTCGGCTAGCAACAAGGCAATCAGCCGCCTGCCACCCATCCGATTATTAGCCAGCCATAGCCGAATCTTGTTTTAATGTTCGGGGCTCGATTAACAAGTCATGTTTGAAATGCAGTTGATTGCTCGAATATTGACATTTGTGTAACTTTACGCCAATTGGGGACGCAGCTGGATCCACAACATCTCAGAAAATTAGCGTTAAATTTATGTCGTTACATAGAAAGAGTAAAGCCCAAAATGGTATGTGCATCCAAAGCATTTCATGAAAAGTTTCGCCTTTGGATCTTACCCTCACGCTTGTCATAAGTACCGAGACGAAAAGCACGCTAGAACAACGTGCCGTGTGTGGCCCATTCGTGTTGGTCACGCCTGAGCTGCTAATTGCTCTCGTCGACCGGATATCGACGATATGCATACATGCATATTGCATGGTCCGGACTCATCCCACCTGGTGTCGGCGCTCATAAAGCCTGGGTATATGCATCGACGGGGACCAGCTGCCGCCGTCGAGTGCCCCCCCCCCCCCCCCTCCCCTCCCCCGTCGCCGACCGATAGCCGGGCGTCGCCCGGGCGTCCCCGGCGTCTGGGCAGCCGTGGACGGGCGGCGGCGGACGAGCGGCGGCCCGGCGTGGCGTGGCGTGGCGTGGCGTAGAGCCCCCCGCCCCGCACGTCCGCAGTTCACACGACCGTTGCCGGAGGAGGATCGCGCACGGGCGGAGCTGCGAGTACCGGACCGATGGGGCTATTCCCGAATGCTGGTCTCCGGTGCTGCGGCGCGGCGGCCTTGAGCCGTGACCTTTGTCGCGTTCCGGCGGATGTGAGCCGTTCCCATAGGTCAGGCTCCGACGACCGCCCTCCTCTGCCGCAGGTGGACGATTGCAAGAACGGCGGCGTCTGCGTGCCCTACTGCGACGGCGACCGCAACAACTACAGCGTCCGCAACACGACCTGCATGTGCTTCGACGGCTACTACGGCCCCACGTGCGAGGACCGGGTAAGTGCCGGGTGCGCGGGACGCCGGGAACTCTGCCGGCACGCCGCCGCTTGCCCGTGCCGCCTGGGTTGTCTCTGCCGCCTGCTGGAGGCCCGACGCCATGTTGCTGGTTGTGTACGTCGTCGACGGTAATGTCATGTCAGGATGATGGTAGCGTACCGCGGTCTCATCTCTCTGTAGGACGACGGCTGCGGGCCCGTCTTTGTCTGCGATGTTCTCCGTGATAACAATGTTTGGCGAACAAAAAGTATTTGCGTCTCTCTTGGTCATTAAGATAACGGTAGCTATTCAATTTAGATAAAGATGGAGACAATGTTTTCAATTAGAGGAACTCAAGAATAAGCTAGAATCATACTGCGTATTGGGACATTGTCTGGCCTTGTCTTCCGCTGCTCTCACCGGCTGCAAGGGCGGCAGAAGCTGGTTGAGAGTTAATTTTGGCCATGAAAACTCAGCATCCCGACTAATGCTCAGAAAGAGCAATGCATTGCTCTCACACTTTCTGGGAATATTTATATCGAAAAATGTACCTTCGGCTATTTTGCGACCGGAAGTAGTCGTAGGGAATAGTAGGAAGTAGATTACTACTAACAAGATTTGTCTCGAAACGAGACAGGTTCGTGGTTTACCATTGACCATGTGCGCAGAGTTGAAGATCACCTCTGCTGCAGTATGTACGTCGCTACATGTACAATGTGTACGCCTCTAGAGTTGTACGTATGCTCATGCATGCGGTAAATTTTAGTTTTATGGAGGTTATTCATAGACTCAGTTGCCGTTCCGGCACTTTCATTTGTCCAGCGCGAGCCGTTGGCATCCCCTTAAGCTTCAGGAGACTACTGTCGATTACTGATCCAGTGAACAGTGGGTTGTCTCGGAATAGCGCGTGCTGGTCATGGTATCCCGGATAGCCTCTACACGTTTTAGGTTGCTTAGAACATACTTCTGAGAGCCTATGATTCCATTTTTAGAGTCTTTCTGCCAGATTTCACACCCGCGTTCGTTTTTGCGACCACTGAAACCATGTACGGCTTCTGAGGCCGCCTAACGGAGACTGAAGTCTCGATGGCCTTGTGTTGGTCTCAGGGCGTTTGAAAGCAACGCGTGATAAGCCCGTTCACCGCACGAGCATTACCTGGTTCTAATCGCCCCGACACACTTTCTCGACAATGAACTTTGATCATATCAGGTCTGTACCGTTTTGTGCTCACAAGCGTGTTGGGAATGACCTTAAACTTCCAGGAGGCCCTTACATTTGTCTCTGGGCGTAATCAATTTAGCGCCCAAAGTGTCATCGGCTTTCTACCGGCTCCCTTTCGCCCTGAGGCTTTGTGGCTGTGACGGACCGCATGCCCTGGCAGTGGAACGTCACATCGGGTTCTGTTGGGATCATCAATCGGCCGTCTTATTTTTACGATCGCCGCGGAGCTTCTGAGCCTGTTTCCGGAACTGCCAGTCGTCTTTGCCCCCCCCCCCCCCCTGACCATCGTTGTGGAACAAAGGCAAACTTAATTCGGAGCCATCAGTTCGTTATAGACTTTAGTGGTCTGCTGTAAGAAATTCTTATGTTGGAAGAAGCCGACCCACATCACACTAGGAGGTACTGCCTGAAAAAAGAATATCGGATATGTGCATTCTGAAGACTGACGGTTTGCGACAGCACTCATGCGAGCTGGGTGCCACCCATGAGGTAGGATTCATAGATCTGCGACCAAGAATGATGTCCTGCATTTTTCGAGGCCTCAACATGACCGGTATCTTTTACACTTTTGAGGACGCTAGAAACGTATTGCAGGATATCATCAGCCAAGTGCCTGATTCTTTAGATGAGGTATAACATTGATTTCTGGTTCCGATCACTTTCATAAAAACAAATCACTTGACTCGAAGCCTTAGGAAATCTCAATTTTCTTACAGCCAAGATGAATGGACTTTGTATAACCGCTAGGCAAGCTGAACTTTGGTTGGTGTTGCACAAGTATAATATAGATGTAGCAATAATCTCAGAAACCCACTTAGGCAAGACCTTCCAAAATAATCCAATTTTCCAAGTCGGAGATGAAGCATTACGACGAGACAGAAACTTGATGGCGGTCAATAAAAGTAATGGTGGAGGAGTCGCCACAGGCATGAAGAGTAACTTGCCGTGCACAGAACCCAAAATTGAAGTCCCAGACGAGCTTAAAGTTTACTGGAGCATCATTCGACTTTTGCAACTCGACAGCGTCATAATAGCTTGAGTTTACCTCCCTCCTGATGCATCAGTCTGTCGCCGGCAAAGGCTATCTGACCACCTTCTGGAAACATTTGATCATCTTCGATCCTCAAGGCCAAGAGCAAAACTGTCTTGGTAAGAGACTTTAGCACAACATTTGATGCAGAATTGTTAGCCTGTCAACTGGGTCCCTGTAAATAGTTACGAAACCCACAAGAGGCTCCGCCGTACTGGACAATATCCTGACTGATTTTGATTCTCCAAGTGCGCCACTGAACCTATTGCCCATTGGCGCGACATGCCACAAACTATAGTATGGTTGGCTGCAAAACAAGCAGAAAAATATAAGCCCTAGTGCCTCGCACGTCCTTTGAATGACTGATCCATCAGAAGTTTTGGCAGATGGATTTACTGCCAGGATTGGCAAGATATGGCAGCAATAAATGATATAGACGAGGCTGCTGCTTGACTAGAACTGCTACTTCAGAATGCTTATGAAAAGTACCTCCCTGAAATTAAGTACAAATGTAAGACAAGTGCTCCGCAGTGGATAACAGAGCGCCTCAAAGAACTGATTAACAAGCTAAATAGGACGAAAAGTCGTCATGAAATGGACAGACTACAAATTGGAGACAGAGTAGGCCTTGAATTACACCTGCAAAAACGGCATGCTTCGAGCGGCTAAATATAGCATTAGTGGGCTTCTTTGTCCTCTCAGGTCTTCCTAAAGGATAAACAGACGTGACCTACGATACGAATCGTTTGAGTAAAGGTTTCAGAGGCGGCTGGCTGCATTCTCAAAAGTTTGGCATCATCGCACGCAATAACGCTATTTCTGTCATCATCTCGCGTGTCCCACGTCAAGCAAGTCGTCTTACTGTTGCGTACGCACCTGTGCATATGCGATAGCTAAGTGTCCTGCGTACCAATATGCTTATGGCTGACTGTTAAGTCAAACCCGCGATGGAAGGCATTTTACGGTGTTCGCATCTTGTTGGTGAAGCGTGTGCTGACGGTGCTTGGGTGTTCCCCAGTCGCGCACGGGGGAGATCATGATGGTGGTGGCGCCAGTGCTCAGTATACTGCTGCTCGCCGCCATAGTCGGCATGGTCATCTTCACAACCATGGCCAAGAACAAGCGAGCCACGCGCGGCACCTACAGTCCGAGTCGACAGGTGAGGAAGCCGGAACCAGTGCGGCCACCAACACTTTACACTTCGGTAGGTGCGCTTGCTGCTTAAGATTAGAAGTAATGTGTGTGCTTGCCACACTGACGACTGCTTCTTGAAAACGATGGACGTTTCGAGCGTGAGTGCAAACGGGCTTTGCTAGCTTTACAAGCGCACCTCGCTGCTTGCCTTCGTGCTGCTGCGGTGTGCTGTAGTGGACTCAGGTCAAACTAGATCCGTCCACGGCAACCACCTGGAGAAGAATCGGCGATGGCTTCCACTCATTTTGTCCGTATGTGCCTAGTGCCGTGGCGCGCGATCTTCGACATAGACTGCCACCTCCGATCTCTGTTGACTCCGCCGCCAACACCCAGCAGCCATCGCGCGCCGCCCGAGGTGCCCGCTGGGTGGCCGTCGTTGCCGCTGCGCTCGCTGGCGGCCGTGGGCCACGGTGTGTCCCACACCGCCGCCGCGGACGATGGGCCCGCTTGCCATCAGCGGACCTGTCGCTGGTCGGCCTGCTGCGGTCTGTCGGGCGGCGGCGTCCCCGATTCCGGTGACCGCACGCCGCGGCTGTCCGGCCCGGACACTGCGCAGTCCGGCGGCCTGTCGGGCGGCGGCGTCCCCGAGCACCGGCCGCACGCTGCCGCTGTCCGGCCCGGACGCCGCGCTGTCCGGCGGCCTGTCGGGCAGCGGCGTCCCCGAGCGCCGGCCGCACGCTGCTGCTGTCCGGCCCGGACGCCGGCGCCGTCCGGCGGCCTGTCGGCGCGAGGCCGCCCGGCTCGCCGGTCACGGCGCACATTCCGCAGCAGGGCGGCGAGCGGTTCGACGCCGCTCGATGTGGCGGCGCGCCGTCCGCGCCTCAGAGACGCCATCAATTCTCGCGTCTGGTTACTGGAGCGTCGATGAACCCCCCATCGGCCGGAGGAGGAGGATTAAGTGTGTGAGGTTGCTGCAGCCGACGAGTAGCGGGCTGACTATCGACGGGTGCCGCCGCGCCGCCCCGCGTCGCTGAGATGCTAATCAAGGACCGCGGGTCACGCAGCGGGTGGAGTTTGGGAACTGCCGTGTGCTGGCTCGAGACTAATATAAGACCTCCGGCGGTGGCACTGTGTGCTGCATATTGAATGCAATGTCATTCGTTTGCGTTGTAGACAGGAGGGGGGGGGGGGAGGGTTGAATGCTGGAGAGTTGGTTTTAGGACTCACAGTGATAAGCTCAACACCTGCCACGACACAAGCGACTTTTTAAGACAGTTTTGTGCTCGTAAATCTGGCACGTCACTTTCCATCCTATCACGTCGTCATTCGCCCCAACAACTACTGTCCATATTTGAGTAGGCACGAGGACAAATGAACAAGGAAGCGACAAGACATAAAAGAGCTAACTATTTATTAGCGTAGTCTGTCAGTAGCCACACTACGTAACATTACCTCTCAAGCACAACCTCAACAGACAGAAACTGCCTTTGATGAACATTTATTCACCCGGAATTCATCTATGGACATCCTACATGGATGCTAGCCTGTAGGCACTGCCATATCCTACGAGTCGCACAAGACCCCAACAATGGATCGAGACAAATGGAGGCTGGTGTGTGCATAGTTCGTCGCTAGCCGCGGAGCCCGCTCAGTGCTGGGGCGGCCGGGGCCGGCCTGGCACTGGAGAACTCGCGTCCATCCTCCCGCTCATTGATGCCGACGTCCAACGCTGCGTCCGCGCCCGTCTGTCTCCGCGCCTGCCCCGGTCCGGCTCCGTCCGACGCCGCCGGCCGGCCGGGCGTACCAGCGTCGCCAGCGGCGCTGCCTACCGCCGCCCACCCGAGCGGCCGACAGCCATTTAGAGGCACGCCACGTCGGCGGCACGTCGGCGGCGGACGCGGCGCTTGGTCACGGCGGGGTGCGGCCTTTTGTTGTGCCCGACCGCCGCCGCCGCCGCCGCCGCCAGCGCGCCGTCGGGGCGCTTCGCGACGGACGCGGATAATCGAATTACCACGTGACAGGATCTTCTCTCTCTCTCTCTCTCTCTTCTCTCTCCTCTCTCTCTCTCTCTCTCTCTCTCTCTCCTCTCTCTCTCTCTCTCTCTCTCTCTCTCTCTCTCTCTCTCTCTCTCTCTCCTCTCTCTCTCTCATCTATCCTCTCTCTCACCCTCCTCCTCTCTCCCCTCTCTCTCTCTCTCTCTCTCCTCTCTCTCTCTCTCTCCTCTCCTCTCCTCCTCTCTCTCTCTCTCCTCTCTCTCCTCTCTCTCTCTCTTCTTCTCTCCTCTCTCTCTCCTCTCTCTCTCTCTCTCTCTCTCCTCTCCTCTCTCTACCTCCCTCCCTCTCTCCCCTCTTCTCTCTCTCGGTCGGGTGTCGTGTGTCAAGGATCGGCACAATGTGTCATCGATTTCGGCGTCTTTGCCTGCCAGTCCGTGCCATTCATAAATTACGTTCGTGTTTTTATGTTTCAAGGGGTCTTTCCCCCGAAGTAATCTGGATGTGGCGACGCTTTGGTCTGATCCGTGCCTGTTTTTCGCTTGGGTAAGGTGGGCGTGGGGGGGGGGGGGGTTGTGCTGCGATATAAAATTCCAGTTTAACGAATAAGCCTAGCCAAAATTCACGTTTCATAAAGTCATGATACAGTGGCTTATTGCCACCCATCTCCAGGGTGGTCAGGAGTTAATCGCTGACGAATCGTTTAATTATGACCTCTGAGACTCAAACCCACCAGTTGTGCCACCTTCCAAAATCGTTTAGGTAGGATGGCGGATGGACAGTTCAGCAAACAGTTCAAGTTTGATTTAACCTGCTCCCAATCCTGATATCTCCTCCGGATTCCGGCCACTTTGATTTGCGTCCCCTGATGTCCAAATTCAAACTTGAAATAAATGAAAAGATATGCGGTCATCTGCAAAATTGTTTTAATTTTTTAGGAAAGAATTCCCATTTGAAGCCAATGTACTAGTGATGATACTGGTATCTGACAATGATGATATTGATATGGATGCTCTTAGGCACCTGGTGTGTACCAGCAGTTAGACACTTGCTGCTTTTCATTGAACCTCGTATTTCCAGTTTTGCTTATTGGCGTTGTGGGAGGGGTGCTCAAAGACGCATTGAGAAGGCTCAAAGTCTGCGTGGGGGGTGAAGGGCTCAGATGCCCCCCCCCGCGAAAGCATTCAAAGTTACACCCCTGAAACCCACATTTCATCACAACGTCGTCAGATGGCCTTGCGTTGTACCCAACTGGACTGAGGAAAACGTGTCTGAACGATTCTTCGAAGCTCTCGAACGGACCTTATCACACTCAATTATTTTCTCCGGCGCATTGCATTGTGCTTTCACGGTTGTCGTGGGATATTTATATGTTCAATACCAGTTACTTTAGTTCTCCTCATTCCTATCTTCTTTTCCTGTTCGTACGAATGTTTTCGGCGAGATCTGATGCGACTGTCACTTTCACCAGCTAGATGATGAGGTGCGTGGCGCGGAGATTCATCGATTCATTTCGTTGATTTCGTCTCAGTCGATCTATCAGTCAGGCTGCATAACAGCAATTCATGAAGAGGGACAGGAGGTCACAGCTTTCTTGATGTGACTGATAAGCATTCTCAAAGTACTTCTGTTTTACGTCCGCGTGGCATCACGACCGCGCTGCGCTCTGTCCGAGGTGGGAACGGCGCCCGTGCTCTGACCACCTACAACGCCACCCACAGGCGTTGTTTACCGCAGCTGTCGCGTCCACCCGACCCATGTCCCACTGGCGACCGTGGCGCCCACCGGCCCGTCGCCGGCCCGGTCCGGCCGGCGGTGCCGCTCCGCCGGCCGTGTGCCTCCCGGCCGCGTCGAGTCTCTGACGGACCTCTCCGCCGGCGGCGGGCCAGACTGGTGACACGGGGCGGCACGGGCCGCCGGCCGCCGGTGCCGCTCCGCCGGCCGTATGCCTCCCGGCCGCGTCGAGCCTCTGACGGACCTCTCCGCCGCGGCGGGGCCGCACTGGTGAGCCGGGCCGGCACGGGCCGCCGGCCGCCGGTGCCGCTCCGCCGGCCGTGTGCCTCCCGCCGCGTCGAGCCTCTGACGGACCTCTCCGCCGGCGGCGGGGCCGTACTGATGACACGGGCCGGCACGGGCCGCTGGTGTCCATCGGTCTTCCCCTGTCGAACGCGCAGGCTTCTTTGCGTTTTCTGGACAAGGAACAGGCTCGGAGGCACCCGGGCGACATCGATGGATGGTCACGGTGAGACGAACGGAAAGATGACCACTGGGAGAGACGAACGGAAACGGTTTCGGAGAGCTGGTGTAAAACTGGGCCGTGTTTGTGCCATTGAACAGCAGTGAACATCACCATTTTGCTCAAGTGGATCGGTATGATAGAAGGTTGAAACTATGTCCTCGTTATTGCAAGAGCGATGCTGGCTACAAAATCAGGGAAAGCGACAGTGTGTAACCCGCTCCATCCCACACTAGGGATCGATAAGAACCTGTCATTGTATGTGACCTGTGACTTGTCGTGTTTTTTGTAGAAGTTTATGCCGGAATAGCGTGAGAATCAAACCCCGTGGTACACAAGTTTTGTTGTGAGGACCCTCACCGTACGAGTCGCTGGTGCAGTTATAATTTAATCTCATTATGCATCGCACGTGATGTAATGAGATAGGGTACACCAATGTACAAAGTGTTTCACGGTGTCTGTTGTACGACACGCAAGTTGTCGGGCGCCTGAGCGCAAAATACGACCGACGTGACCTAGACAAAGAAGCCATCACTCATGGAGTGGCAAAGGTTGGATCAAGATGCGCTTAAGCACGTAATACGGTCGGAACCCCTGGCTCTGAAAATTCAGGAACCGTGTTTTCATAATCACAGTTTCATTTGCTATTTCAGGTTTCTCGGACCGGTTTTCCAGCGTGGGGGGGAGGGGGGTCACGTTCTATAGCCGCCGGCGGCGAACAGGCCACGCTGTTGGGGCAGCGCAATCGGTTCGGTCCCAGCCCCTAGACCGGCGATTGGTGAGGCATGGGTGCATCGCTCCCCCTCCCTAACCCCACCACGCCGCCGGCGGTGGCGGAGACGCATGGTCGGCGATCGCGGCTAATGGCTGCACTCCCGCAGTGCAGACGCGCGCCCGCCTGTTGACCCCTCCGACCCTCTGACCCTCTGACTCTCTGACTCTCTGACTCTCTGACTCTGACGTTCTCTGCCGCAGGAGATGTTCAACCCGCGCGTAGAGATGGGGCAACATGAAGAAGCCACCGCCCGAGGAGCGGCTCATTCTGACGGGCCACGCCCTCGAGGCGTAGAGACACGCCTAGCGAACACTCCCGGCGACGGGGAACGAGCCGTCCGCAGCACATTCCAGCGAGAGGCAGCGGTGACGCGTCCGCGTCAGCCAGCAGCCGTGACGAGCGCGCGCGCGCCCCGATACCTCACAGGGGATCGTTTTCCGGCGGCGTTTTAGGTTTTTGACGGTGGCATTGTGATAGTGACGTTGGACGTTGTGCAAGCCTGTCTCGTGGCAGGCTGTAAGCCGTGGCCGCTGGGGACGGCGACTGAGTGGGGTGGACGCGGCTCGAGTTTGGTCTCACCTGATAGGAACGCCCGGCTGGTCGGCGATGTTGAAGTGACCAAAGGAGCGACGGCTTCCACAGCGGCCGCTGTCCGTAGGCCGGACCGGAGGGCCGATTCCGTGCCTCCGCCCTCTCCATGGTGCGGCGCAATGCGGTCCGTCTGTGGCCGAGTCCGTGTCTCCGTCCTCTCCATGGTGTGGCGCAATGCGGTCCGTCTGTGGCCGAGTCCGTGCCTCCGCCCTCTCCATGGTGCGGCACAGTGACGTTCGTCTGTTGCAACAGACCGCGGGAGGCTGCTGTTCATTTCGTTGCCCCACTCTAATCCCATCCACGTTGTAGGGGTCGCGGCTGATTTTAGACGTCGCATTTTACGCCGGACCATATTGTTTGTGGTACAATCGTGACGCGGTTGGTTTTCCTTTGAGAGTGTTTTTTGGTGGATTGGTGACGCGTGACATCGCGAGTTACGATGCTGGGACCAATTTAGCGGGCGCGTTGGACCAATGTAAGCGCCAGACACGTTTTATACTGGCTGGCTGGGCTCGCGTGCAGCGGGCCGCTGGCTCTTACCGAGCGGCATGTGTTTCCCAAATGGACCGTTTGTGCCAACCGTCCGTCCTTTTCATAATAGCCTGTTGTGTTTCGTCCGTCCAGCCGGCGTCGGCGAGGTGTTGGCAGCCGCCGGGGCTAGGGGTGCCGTGCGCGTGACCATGGTGTGGTCTCTTGCACCCTGGTCTCAGACCCCGCATCAAAACACGGCTGCAGCATGGACAGTATTGACCACTGGCTGTTGGCGGTGCGGTGCGTGCGTGCCTCTCCAGTCCAATTCTCGCTGCAGCCTTGTGCGTCTTCCACACATGCAGCGAACCCCGGCGTGCTTACTCACTGAGACAATATTGTGGTTTGTCAATGCATCGCACCACGACGACTCATGTATTTCGCTGTTTTATCAGGTGCAAGTGATGGACAATACAAACCCGGCCATCAGATAATGCATGGCGTCCGAGGTGCTCTTGTCCACGCCACCGGAAAGTAGCGACGGTTGACCCGTGTTTGGCCTTACATATTGCTTTTTACAGCGCGCCAATCTCATCGTGGTGGACACTCGGATATTGCGATTGCAATGCCGTCCAATTACGTGATCATGGAAGGTCATACCATAATCTGACTACGCGTTACCGGTCGGAACTGACGGGCGGGATAGTTGGACTTAAAACTAGCTCTCATCTGTCGAGAACGCAAACATCGTGGAGGCTGCGCACAGACGATCGGATGTTGTTTGAGCTGGCTTGTCAGATCACACATTAACAACGGTTTATAAGGGTGTTATGGATAATGGAAAAGCGTGAATATTCATCGAGCCGTTCCGAAATCGTAGCTCTTTATGCACGGAGTGTAAAATCAGCGAACAGAATCAACTTGACGTCCGATTTTCGACTGTTGGAAGTAAGACGAGTTTACCGCCCGAAAAGTTCAAAACCCGATTTTCATGCGAGAAGGGATGGGTTTGGAGGATGTCGTTACGGTTACGCTCTGAAAATATCCACCAATACTGCCGCACCGTAAAGACGGGGCTTTGACGCTCAATAAATGTTTTATTATCGACACCGCTTCCCAGGCCTTTTGACAGCACCTTTTTCGCCCACGGCCCGCAAGTGCTTTCTAGGAATACCTTAAAATAAGGGAATGTGTTGCGTGTTGCGAAAACACCCGGCGCATTCGACGCGTTTTTAACGGTAGTGGGACCCATCTGCTCAGCCGCGGAGCAGCAGCGGAGCAACTGCACGGAGGTACGAACTCACGCGTCGCCCACCCAACCCCAACCGCTGACGGCCAGCTTGTCGTCATTAGTTCCCACGCCCGTGGGAACTTCCCACCAGCAGACATAGGAACGACTGACAGCAGAAAATCATCTGCCGCGCCACTGAGACCCAGCCGGCTCGTTGGCCAGCCGGCGGCATGAGCGCCGCCATGAGAGAGAGAGTGAGAGAGAGAGCCTCGGTCGGGCACGCGGGGCGGGCGGGCAGCTCCATCAGCGGCGCACTGGCACGAGATATTCCACGTGGGTGAGCCGGCGGGGGGGGGGGGGGGGCGGGCGCGCTGCGGCGGATTTGCCGCGTCTAATGTGGATTGTTGGTCAGCGCAGAGCCGGCTTATCCGGAGAGGCTCAAGTAATATCACGGGGGAAAAAGCGGGGCGGAAAGAAAGGAAGAACAAAAACAATCGGAAAGGAAGCGCGTGTTGTGGAGATCAACAATCCTGAGAAAGAAATCGTGATGGCAGATGGTGAGTGCGTGAAAAAAGGCAACGGTCAAAAAGAAATAGTAGATTTTTGTATCTATGCACATCGGCGGCTTGCGCATAGAGAATGCAACAAAAACAAACAAATTGACATCGCGCACGTTTGAGCAATGTTTAGACGCCCGCTCAAAGCCTGAGGCTCAATGTTTTTAAGTTCAGACACGGTCCGAAGTTAACAAAGCCATTCATTTAAGGCCATCATAACGCCGAGTCATTAAATAAGATTTCGGTGCGCTGAATTTTGCTTGAATGCTGTGGAGTCGGTTAATTTGACCTTGCTCCGGTCTCGAATTATTTTGCGGACGAATTTTGTCTTTCGTGGGCATAATTTGATCACCAAGTCGTGAACTCTCCTTTGACACAGGCGCGTTTTCAAGCTTTATGAATGGCGCAATCAGAAGAGGAAAACCGCGGCGAAAAAGGTTTTGTAATGTCGCTTAACTAGCGCATATATATCATACGTTACGATAAAAAATGTGCTTGAATAATCATGCTATACCAAGTATTAAGTGATGTGTATGACCCATCATCATGGGAGTAGTTGATGTAGAAAATTGGAGCTGGCAAGGCAATGACATATCTGTTGAAGGTCTCTCACTGTACTCCGCTGTAATGCCAGTGGCAGTGGAGAACATGTTAGGAGAATTTCGTATAAGTCCACAAGAATGTAAAAACACAACGATCAGTTGCTTTCCTCGGTGTCTGATGCAGCGATGTTGAAAGGGGGCTGGTGATTACCACTGTAGGTCTTCATCGGAAACTTGTTGCAGGTGCTCATCAGGTATTCATTGGCTGCTCACCCAAACCAACTACCCACGCAGAATACACGACACCTTCTATGTATGCTAACTGAGTCCGCCCATGTTGTTCTGTTAAGGTGAATGCTGATGACCCGGATAGATCAATGAAGCATGACTTAAGATGCGACTTAAGATGTGGCATCAACATATTTGCTTCCATCCACATTGTTTGGCCCCGTCTCTGTTGCTATCTCTATACGCCCCACGAAATACACATGGTCGATGCAAATGTTGTTTGTTGTTTGTAGAACAGAAGAAAGCAATGAAAGTACTTATCTACAGCTGAACTAAAAACAAGTGCTGGCTGCAACTACCCTAAATATAATATTTTGGGGTCTATGCACATGTAGTTTTGACTATGCGACGGTTACTCTCTATTACCTGCACGTGCTTCATCATCACAGGCTTTCGATAAACTTTAGCAGTCAAGATTCTGTCTTTTTCACAAGTTGACTAACGCATAGCTGATGTGTTAGGCAAGTACTCAATGTAAGTAAACTGTGCTGGAATTCCTCCCATCCTTACCCCGTCTATTTAGCTTCGTCCATGCTGCCTCATACCAAACGCTATCTAACTGACTTTTATGCTTAGCGCATTACACTCACGCACCGGCCTTGATGTGACAGAATGCGTTGTTCATTCGCCTCAGGGGACCGTCAACGGGGTGACGCTGATTGCGGGAACGTCACATTTGCCTCGGCCGGCAGGGGCTCGTCCAGGGATTCTTCCCAGCACTTCCGTGGTCGCCTATGAATGGTGTATGAATCTCGGCCGTTAAATTGCTGTTTACAGTTGATGTAAAATTAACAGACAAAATATAATTTCAATTGCACAAAGTCCTGAAGCGTCAGAACACCAGCTCCGACACGCTGAAATGCAGTTGAAGAACACCAGGGCTGATCAATACGAGCCACGCATGGGGGCGGAATCGAGCACAGGGAACACCGGGTTTGGTCAACACGACCCACGCATGAGGGCGGAATCGAGCACAGGGAACACCGGGTTTGATCAACACGACCCACGCATGAGGGCGGAATCGAGCACGAGTTGCATGACGCGAATTAGCCTTTCACACACCCCATCTTGTATTGCTACAGCCAGCACGCACTTGCGATGCAGGTCATAGCAGCACAACACCCTGGCACATGTGTGACGGTGACGTAGTCTCCCGGATTTTGGCCTCCATTATAGGCAGGTTTCCGGGGCGAAGCAAGCTCATACTGCACCAGTAATGCGCCTGTTGCGGCGAGGCACCAGCCACAAAGGAGGTGACAGATGCGAAACTTATCGATTGTCATTATGTAGACAATGAGTTCTCCCAGCAACAAGCTCTGCTTAGCTGGGTGGACTCCCTGGAGATCCAGCCCAAAACCCAGCACAAAAATGACCAGGTAATTGCCCCCTCCGACTTGTGACTGTATAACCCTTACTAACACCGGGAATTGAGTGGTTGTAGATTATTGGGCAGTTGTAGCGGGCTGTCATTAGCTGATTTTGGCTAATGACTACTTTAAGCCTTTTCATCTATGATTTTCCCTCCCTCTCACGTAACACAATTCCCTCGGGTCTGCTCCACCTCCTCGCTT